AATGAATAACCAGTGATTATTAGCCTTAATCTACAACTACTAACCATACGAAATCCTGAGGCAGCCGCTGCCTCGACCAGATCGTTACATTATAGTATTCTTAGAATAATTTATTGATTTCCTAATAGAACAATATTGAATTGAATAATCTTTTTGTATTGGATTATATTTATTTGTATTAAGTAAGTTTTTTACAAAATCTTATTATTTAATTTTATTAATTATTTATTAATTAATTATAATTGATATAAAGTTTATTTTGTTTGAGATTATATTTCTAAATACTTTACAATTCTTAATACTATAAAATTTCCAATAATTTTTAAATCAATTATAATTTAAATTTTTTGTTCATTTATTTTAGTATTACAATAAATCTATTTTGTTTGATTTATAATATTTAATTGTTTCTGGTTTATAACCTTGTTTTAATTAATTTGATCGATTTAATCAATTTTGTATAATTGATCATTTTGATGATTATATAACGAAATATTTCTTTCTCTTTTTTTATAAAGAAATTATTTTATAGTTTTTTTATTTGATTAATGAATTCTATAAAAATCATTATAATAAATTATTCAATTTATCGTTGTATATTCTATTAATAATTTTTCCTTTGGATTTTTCTTGATCAAAAGAGATGATAGAATTCAAAGATGTTTTAATTTATATTGATTTATTTCATTTAATCCTTCTTAATCTCAAAGTATTATATTGATTTCCTTTTAATATTATTTTTGTTTATAATTATTGTTTTCAATTAAATTCAAAGTATATAATTGAGATACAAAGGTAATATTGAATTAGTTCTTTTCAAATCTAGTTTTTTTGTAATATTCTTTTTGACTTTATGATTTTCTGTTTCAGTAATTTTTGGATTGATAATTAGGTTTGTTATATTCAAAACAAAATTTATTTCTTTGTTTTCGATCTATTTTTTTTTAAAAATAATTTGTTTTTGAAGATTGTATTTCATTATATTAAATCTTTATATAATTGTTTATAATCTCAAGATTTTTCTTTGTTTTTGTAGTATTTATTACAATTTTGATTTCTATAAAAGTTGAAGGATTAATATTTCTTTTAATATTTGTAAAGTATCTTATATGTTTTGATTGATTTTTCAATTAATTCATTTAGATCTTTTCAAATATAATTATAATCTAATTCTAATCTAATCTTTATTTTGAGTTTTTTCTTATAATAATTTATTATAATATTCTTTTTTTATTTTATAGTATTTATATATCGTTTGAATTTTATAATATATTTCATTATTGATCTTATTTGTTTGAGATTATAGATCTTGAATTCAATATTATATAATTTGTTGATATTTTCGAATATTTATTGTATTTCCTTTTTGAATCCAATGAATATCTTAAAGATAATTTGGATTAGATATATTTGTTTCTGTAACGATCTAGTCGAGGCAGCGGCTGCCTCAGGTTTTCATATGATTGGTAGTTGTAGGTTAAGGCTAATAATCACTGATTATCCATTCGAAGGTGAATACATTACTAGATCAATTGGAATATGAATAGACTAATTGATAACTAAGTTAAACATGAAGCTTTTAAACTATAAAACTATTCTGACTATATATTAATCTCGTTTCCTATACTAGCTATACTAGCTGGCTAGCAGAGCTAATACATCACGTGATTGATCCTAAGGCCTCTCATATCCCAAGGTCTTTTCTTTCCTGGAACATTTGTTTTAGGAACTTTCCCTTTAGGAATTATAACTCTAAAATACAATATCCTCTAGAATGATAATCCTATTATAATCAATTAGATAAGATACTTGTCCTATCCTATTATGATTACCTAGAATACTTATCCTGGGGTCCTAAGCTTAGGTAATCAGAACCCCCGAAAGCAACAATTAAATCACACCCCTTCTGTAGTCGGTATATAAATCACCGATGTTAATAATACTACTATAAAGAAAACCGTGAATTGTAACAGTTTCTTGAGATTATTTAAATAAAATAATCTTTAAGATAAAATTGAATCTATTTAAAAGTTTTTCTTTTAAAATAAAAGATAATTTAAATACTTTTATTGATATTATAATAAAATTTATCCTTATTGAATTCGAAATAGATTTCTAATTGAAATAAAAAGGTTTTTAATTCTTATCGATGATTTATAAACTTATTGAATAAAGCGATTTTGAAGGTTTCAATAATAATAATCTTTTTGAGATTCTTTATTCTTTTTATAATGATATCTTCGTTTTGATTTATATCTTTTGAGATAATTGAAATTGGATTATTAGATTAGGAAGTTTGAGAAGATATAATATTATTTTATTGAATTAGTATTTGAAATAATAATAATACTCAAAGTATTATAAGAAATATAATCTAGATTATATAGAAATAATTTGAATCTTTGAAGAATTTATAATTAGATGTTAAATAAGAGCTTTTAAAATAATATTAATAATTATAATTTGTAATTAATAATAAAGTATATTAAATGATTAATTTTGAGTATAAAATTTTACAAAAGGAATCCTTTTTTAGTTATATAGATCTTTATATCAATTGGATTATTTGAATCTAATAAATTTAGAATTCGATTCTTTAGATCCTTTAGATCCTATAATTTATTATATGATTATGATCAGACTATATATCCGAGCTTGCTAAAGGTGGGGAGACCACATAAGGCGATTACCATACAAATTTGTATACAAATCGCCTTGCTTTTCGATAAGGCCTAAGCTCATATGAACAAGTTGACTGCTGCCTCTCAACATATCCTTATCTTAATCGTAAATCGTGACAGGTGGGGAGATTATATGAATTGATTATTATATAAATTTATATACAAATTGTCTTGTTTTTCGATGAGATCTAAGTTTATTTAAACAGATTGATTGTTACTCTGTAATAGTAAATTCAATACAAATTGAAAATTGTAATTTCAACTTTCAATTTCTCAATCAATAAAATTATAAAAAATCTGAAATTTTCAGAATTGAGTTATAATTATATAATAAATCTACGATTCAAATTTTATTAAATTTTATTGATTGATTGTAAAGTTATTAATAGATAAAAATCATGATTTTTGATGTAAAAAGGTATTCAGAAAGAGAGATGATTGGAAAGTAAAGTATTAGACTTATATAATTTAATATAATATAATAAAAATAATCTATTATATTATATTATATCATTTTTAAATTTATTAAATTAAATTAAATTATTAAAAAAGAAAATTCTTTTTTTAATTATAAATCTCAGATACAAATTAATAATATTATTATAAAAGATAAATAAAAAACTTTATTATTTTCTTTTAATTTAATAATTCGTTTATAATATAATATAAATATAATTATTAAAGATTTAATAAAATCTTTATTTGAGCTGTTTAGTTATTTTAGAATAAAAAAAATAATGAAGAGATTTAATAATCTTTATTTTTAATATATAATATATACTAGACCTGAGTTTAAGAGTTTATATTCTATTGAAAATGAATATAAACAATTTATAAATGATTGAAAAATGATAAAAGTGGTTTTAATAACTATAGTGATTTATATAAATTTTAATAAAATTAATCTTTTTTAATCTTTTTTAATCTTTTAAATAACAAATAGCAAATAATAAATAACAAATAACAAATAACAAATAACAAATAACAAATAACAAATAACAAATAACAAATAATAAATTTATAAATTTATAATTTCTTAATAATATATAATCTAATGAAAAACTATTAAAGAAATTTTAATAAGATTATTAAGATCTCAAAATTAATAATAAATCGATTAGAAATTATTAATTTATTTGAGTATTTATAAAAAAAGATATTATTATATTCAATTTGAAAAAAATATATAGAATAAAGTTTATAAACTCTTTTTTCCATCAGTGAAAAGTCTATTAGATAAAATTTTCCCGATAATATATCCAATCTAATTATAATTACTCAGTAATACACATTATATTCGAACACAACCCCCTTCCCCTACAATCCACAACAAAAGCCAGTCAAACAAACTACCTGCCATCCCACTCAAATCATCTCATCATCCTATCAACAATAAAAATCCTATTCAAAAAATATTCAACCGAAACCCCCAACACACTCTCAAACAATCATCTTCATTATCAAAGACAAAGACCTTCACCTCACTATATTTAAACATCTCCGTATCGTATTGAAGACGATATGAAGGATAGGAACTATTGATCCTGGATCCACCACCTCCAGCTCAGAATTTACTTATGTAAACAGGATTCTCTAACCACTACTCATACTCAGACGCCTTGATGAACGATTATGTAGAATCGAATGAATCAGATAAACATGACTACGACGAAAAGATGATAGAAAAGTTAGGAAAATCACAAGTCATTTGACAGTAACCTTGATTAGGACTTCAGGAACTAGTAAATGAGCCATCTGAACGAGATAGAAAGAGAAACTTGGACTAGAACTCAGTATCTCAATCGCGATCGATAATTTCAGGTTCGGGAGGTGGGATAGAAAGATATATAGTCATATTACTTACCCGCTAGAGATAAAGCCAATGATAAATTTGTGAAAGAAATTGAGATTGAGATGAGCCATATGATGGTTCTCAATTGACGGTAGAAGAATAGATGGTATATAAAGTCAGAAGATAAGATTGGCAAAATATGCTCGACTTGCTTGCGAGTAGACTTAAATCATATTATATGTCTTACATCAAATACAAACAAATCCGTGGCATTTCGCCACGATGGCTAGAAACAAGTAAAATGAATGCACAGCTAAAGCCAATGGCATCACAACCTCCAATGTCACAGAGGGCCGCCAGAAAAAGAATCCTAACAATAAGAGGCTGTAGACTTTAATGAGAATAAAGCCAAGACTGACGAGTTATGAAAATACTTTATTCATGTCAGAATTGTGTGATACAATGACATTGTATAATTGAGTCCCAGCCGACTTCGGATGATGTTCAAGTATACGCAAAGAATGGCTGGACAGTGAGGTATAGACTAAATTCGGGGCTCGGGAGAAATTCAGATGTGATGAAGATGATCGCATTCAGAACTCGTTATGATATATAGGTTTGTAGGTATTGGTCAGCGGAACAAATCAACCTAACTAACGGAATCTATGCATTTTCGCCGTTTACTCATTTCCATCGGTTTAGCTGACGAAATCCTCGAGTGTTCCTGACAGCCTTGGGTCGGGATGGTTTTTCATGTCCAGCTATCCGCTCAGGTCCGCAATTCCTTAAGTTACCTAGGTGTTTCGTTGGAGCCACTTCAAATTCAGTTCAATCTCTGCTGAATTATAACATAACGACACCCACCCCACTTCCGGCAGAATGAATCCTATTCATTTTATCCACACCACCGGCGATGTTATTCGCCTTATAGTTGTACAAATAATAATGTAATTGGCCATCACCAGCCCCGAATTTCTGCTCTTCCAAAAACAAAGTATTATCCATAAGCGTCAACGCATTAAAGACATCGAATTTGAATTTCTTTGCAATGATAAGAGCATCATGTGTGAGTTCATTGAGGCGTTTACCAAGATCGGTTCTAGAGCTGGCTGGATCAAGGGCAATCGTTGAGGCGTAATAGAAAAGATAGGCAGCGCGAACATTAGTGTGCTTGGGGTGACCAATGACAGAGGATTCGAGACAGTAAAATGAAAAGAAATCAGTGAGTTTCTTGGTTGCAGAGTCCTATGAGGGTGTTAGTCTGTGGTGAAATGACATGTAAAGACTGTACTTACCTCCACAACATAAGACCAAATGACTTGCTCAGCAGGATTCTCAATTCTATTGAGAAGCCAATGCTCTACTTCCTCTCTAGTGAAAACTGGTGCCATGTCAAATTTTGCCAGGTACTTCTTTAGGAGATCTAAGACCCCATCAATATCTTTGGCTTCCATAGGTCTCAGTCCTTTAGTGGATGTATTCGATGGTAGAGCAAATTTACGAACTTGTCGCTCTGGTGTACTTCCCGGTGGTAGAGGACTGAATTTGACCTCGTGTAGCTTTTTCCAGTCCAACGAACGATGATAATATCTACATGTACTGACTGGCTTAGGTAAGACCACACCAGCAGTATATATTGCCTGCCATGTCCCTTGTAGGTAACATCTACGTGTAATCTCTTTAATGAGAACGGGCGCTAATCGTTTCGATCGGAGCTTCTTGTGGATGCAAAGGAAGTTGACTTCGGAGGCTTTGAGGGTTTTGTTTCGTACTCGAAGTGCAACCGGTATGGCTGATATGAAAGCGACTAACTTCCCTGATGCAGTAGCTCGAACACCAACGTGCCACTCCCTACTCCAACCTGGCGACATAAGTGCCCTAAAATGTCAGTGGAAATCATATCAATGTTATATCAATGTCTTACCATCTGAGGAATGACTTTGAGTAATTAAATCGGAACATAGCTTCATCATCTTCAACGTAGTGGCCATATAATAAATCGAAAACTTCCTGCAAAGCCTCATCACTTGTCATATCCATTGTAACCCAATTAAATCCAGATATTAATGGGCCAGGTTCTTTGGGTACTTGTTCCGGATCAACAATTTTAAATGGACCTTCTTCAATGACTTCTGAGCTTTCCCCAAACTTAGGAACCGGTTGTGTTTGCCAAAACTTGTATGCGCCCATTTCCTTAACGTTCTTCCCGCTCGAGGCTAAACCGGTCATGATATCCTCTAAACTGAGCTTTCGTACAGCTTCTGCAGCTTGCTTCCCTGACAGATCGCCATCGACAGCACCAATTTGTTGTGCCAGAGCCGGATTTAATGCGAGTAGTTCTCCAATTTGAGATTTACTGAGACCCGCAACAGCTTTTGAAAGGTCATCTCTTGTAGTATCTCCGCTTGATCCAGTTGAGGATTCTCCTACTCCTAGTGCGGCCTTTATCTTCTTTCTCTTTGATTTCTTCTTCTTTCCAGTAGCTGGCGTGCCAGTTGCGCCAGTGGTTGTTTCATCATTATCCCCTTCATTTTCGGATTCGACTTGTGCTTGGGTAGAAGTATCTGCGGGGGTATCTTCAGAGGCAATTTTTTTACCCTTAGGCTCAAGAGGTGCTGAGTCGTCTGCCATTATTTTTCGCTGATGTATAGGATGAATAGAGAGAGACGTAACAAAAATGTGGATGATCAGAGTGTTCGAGTATTCAACAAACAACCTGGAAGTGGGAAGCTTGTTGGCGGGGTTATGACGCTAAAATTTGATTCGTAAAACAAAAGTCCGACCAGTCCCAAAGAGGAAGCACGAAAATGACCTTACTAATTTCGTACATATAATAATATCACCACAAAATCATACGGGAACAAAATGTCAAGGTAAAGTAAGAATAAAAAGCATTATTTATAGAGTACAATGTCTATATTGAATAACTGAGCGATGCAAAATAAAAAGCTGTGCTTCGACATATGTGCTTTATTCCAGGATGAACAATCAATCGACAAGATTCCAGCTCATATACCTTCGATACCTTTTATGCCATATAAATACAACAAATCTGTGTCCATTACTCACATTTTTTATTGCCTATGCTTCTACTATCATGGATTTGCTGATCATGGTAGTACCCCTCCGTTGTCAAAGCCAAATGCCTTAAACTATAACATTGAGGAGTCAGTAATGCAATGGCATGTATACAAAAGGTTTTAGATTCAAGGGGTAAGTAAGGAGCATTCGTTGAAAATTCCAAACAAAGAACATCAGGGATTTCTTATGGTTAAAGAGGTAGGATATGTGCATTGAAACATTAAGGAGCACGATATGTCATTGAGCTTACCACTGCTAAAGATAGAGGCGCATAAGTTAGAACCGTGCTATGAGCTAGAAATGAGTTAGGAAAAGCTTAACATCTATCTATTACTGGTGACCTGTAAATACTTACCGCCATGACCAACAACTTCTTGTCGAATAATTTTATCATTCCCAGTCTTCCAGGTCGAAATGAAAGCTCCATCACCCATGTTAATTGTATTTCGCGCTTTCATCTTCTCTAATAACTCCATATCTATTCCACTATCCATAGTACCGTTCGCCGCTGCCGCGAATAGCCCTTGGGAATGATACCATGGGATCTCGTAATCATCCAAAGCATGAATTATGAATAATCGTACCCGCTTGCTGATCTTGACAAAGTTCGTAAGTCGTGAGGTAGAAGGCCATTTGTCATTCAGATAGCTAATGAAGAGTTTTTGTAACGCGGGATACGGTCGCAATGGTGAGAGTAGTGGGATCCAACCCGCAATAGAGTAACTGGTGAGTAAGTTTGAAACATCTGTAAAGCCTGCTACAAGTACAACACCTGCAAATTCGATCCCTTGCAATGAAAAATGTTCTATCACTCCACATGCAACTGCTGTTCCTAAACTCTGTCCTAGAACAACAATTCGAGAAGATGGAACTTTGGCGACTTTCATAGCCCAATCGACTGCCGCAATGCCATCAGTAATGAGACCTTCTTCGGTGGGGAAGCCAGTTGAGCGACCAAACCCTCGATAGTCAATGGCTAATATGTGAATGTTTGAGGTGCTTCCATCAGGTATCGCCCGATATGAACCCGTTCGTTCTCCTTGAGCCACGTTCCCAAAAGTCTGTGGGACAATCAGCTAATGGCATCAAATATAAAAAGGGGAAACTATCCGTACCCCATGAACTTTTATCATCAGCGTGTGGTAAAGAGATGATTCAGGGAAAGACTCACAATTGATAATCAGCCGAGCATCCGGGTCATCTTTCAGCAATTCGAATCCTTTCGTAAGGGTTATATCATCGACAAATCCCGAAGGTTGCTCCAATATCTCGGGTTCATGCTTAGCATAAAGCCCAAGTGGCATTATGTGCCAAGCGTAGAGGGTCTCGCCATCTGGAGTACTGAAATTGAATGGTGATACCTGATTCTCTACAGATTTTGAGCAATGGAGGATATGTATGTATATGGCTGATGTTACTGACTAGCGAAGCCGAACCTTTCTGGCTTGTCTATATCCGTTGCCCAGGCTTGTGGCAAACGCAATTTATGCACATACATAACACTTTAGGTATGAGCAAAACGATATATTCATTGTTAAAGCAGAATGCATGACTTACTGTCTTTGCAGCCATGGATTTGTCAAGGCAATCAATGCTAAAGCGTAGAAGAAAATTCCAAAGAAAATAGAAAAGTATGCTTTCTTGAAGATCGGAGCCAAGGGTGCCATACTGCGAATGACAAAATCTCAAGATAGGAAAGCTAGAGAGAGATAGAAGAGAAGGTCAGATTGGATGAAAAATGGATAATTATCAAGTAGATATTTTAAGAAATTTGGAGATTGAATGATTCAGAAAAGGTAAGGAAATACATACAACACAATTGTAGCTATGAGAAATAGAAATGACGCCGCCCAGCCGCGCGGATAAGAAGGATTATGGATAGATACTAATGACTGTGTGAAGCATGTATGAACGAAAACAGCAAAATCAATTATTGAATATTGAATATTGTATCCATAAGAATGAGTGTATGCATATACATACTATATATCCCTACATGTATGTGTATTATTATGTATTAGTATAGAAACGGAAACAGGGCTTACACGTTCTTTTCACCAAACTTTCATAATACTTTCTTTGCGATTCCCTTATCTCCTTCGAAATATAAATGTGATCTCTAAGTATCATATACTTTTCAATAACATAAGGGATGTTGTGATGATCGCAAGCTGCAGGTTAAAGGATCACTCGGTTGTTGTCTAGGGTGCTCTAAGGTTACCTACTTGACCACTACCACACCAAGTTCACTTCCGACGCGCTTCAACTATTTCCCTTCACTTCACTACACTTTACTTACAACTTCAGCTCCCACCAATTTAATTGCTTTTTTTCCCACCAAATTTGCAAAACGTCAACATAGGAATTCAAATATTGCAGCTAAAAGCTGGATATTCCGAATTGACGGAAACAAGCTAAGAAACATGGAAAGAAAGAGAAAATTACCTGCGAGGTCTTCCCGCGGAGGAGAGCCTGCAAGCAAAAAACGAACTGCTACACCTCCAGATCGATCAATTTCTGCGACTCCCCAACCACCTATCGAAGAGCCTCTGCCAAAGAATATTGTTGCCGGCATGCCTTTGCCTACTGTCAATGAGCCTCAACCCGAAAATCTTTCTTCCAAAGAATTCCAAACAATTTCCGAAAGGTAACTTTCTGTACCTCATACCCAAGTTATTGAAGTTGATCCTAACATTTTACAGTGGAGTTCTTGCGGAATCACTACAAAGGTCACGACAGAAATGGGTCAGCGAAGGTATATTTGAGAAGTACTGGACGAAACCGACAAAGAAGAAAGGTGTGCCTGCAGAACCTTTGAACAATCCAGGAAAAGATACCATGACGAAGCTTGGAACATGCCAAATAACTATCGAGCCTCATGTTTTTGATGCTACGATGTATGCTATCAAGGAGCCAAAGTCCGCCTTTCAACCTGCTCAACAACAACAAACCTATCGTCCAATTATCCAATATGGTCCTCCAAATGGAGTTATGCCAGCACCTCCTTCCACCCAAGCACCAAGTCCGATACAACAGAAACCATTCCCAGCAACACAGCCGACAATACAAGCAGTGGCCCCAAAAAATACTGCACCAACCGCTTCCATGGTTGCTACTCCTCTTTCTACTGCTCAAGCACCACCAATGAATAGCGCTTTAATGAATGGACAAAACCCTACGCAAGGCCCAAAGAACCCGAATACCAATTTACCTCATCCAACTAACGCACCACCACCTGCCCAACCAAATAAAAGTACAGATCCTGTAATCCAAATGTTGGCGGAGAGGGCGGCGACGGATGCCGGTTTAAAAGCCTTAATGAGGATCGTGGCAAATGGCGAAGCGTCACCTGCTGAACTTAAAAAGTTTCAAAATCACATTGATGAACTAAATCGGCTGTTGAAGGCACGTCAGCCTGCCCCGCAGCCATCCTTCAATAATAATACACAAACATCACTACCACCTGCCGCTCAGAGTACTGGGCTGCAAAATACACCGGTCGCCAAACCTGCCTTGCCTCCCACGCCTGCACCTGCTCCCGGGCCACCTCACCAACCTCAAGCCCTTAGATCAAAAGGCCCTGTAGCTCCACCCAAGCCGGACATTTCGGGTGTTGTATTCGAGTTCAATGGAGGTAACGGCGATCGATACCTTTTTCCGAAATACAGTATCCTTGACTATCTTCCCGGTGGCCAAGTCATAGCCTCGTTTCTTATTGTCCGTAAAGGCAGTAGCAGTGACTCTGGCTCGTATGATCCTGAGCTCGATTATTACCAACCAGTCACAATTCGTCTTTACACTCACCAAGGTAAACAACTCGATTCATTGCAAAAAGTTGTTGCCTCCCCAGACGAGGTCCGAAGATATATGGATGATATCATGGATAACATGACAAGAGCGGAATATGTTCTGTTGGCCATGCGTTTACCCAAGGATCCTGAATCTGAAAAGGAAGATGCACCCACGAAATCATCAGATCAGCTAGAATCTGACACCAATAACAATTCTAGTTTACCACTCTGGCAAACTACAAATGCACCACCACCTCCACCAGTGGCAAAGTTACCACCTTCGAAAAGACTTCTCACAGAAGAAGAGAAATATCAATCTTTTATTACATCAGTCAGTTGAAATTTTTTGGTTGAGTATGTCTATAGGATAGACCAGTGGATTTCATTTGTTTGTAATACTATAACTGGACGGCGTAATGAAATGAAAAGGAAATATGGATGGATGGATCGGGACACTGGAAAACGGCGGGAAAAGATTGAGATACTCAAGGACTCATTTTTACGGAATGACGGGAGGCTAACAAGGGTACGGATGGAATGGCGTGTCGAGGCACAGGAAAGTCTATTAATTATATCTTTGGTCAAAGATTCCTTTTCATTCTATGGTTTAACTTTTTATTAATTTGATGTACACATGCATGACATTCAAGACGGGGGAACTACATTATGAAGGGTTGATGTATATGTATTCTAGATCGAAGATGAAAAGAAGGCGACTAGAGTAGAGGCAAGAATCACAACTAACCGTTATTTGAGGTTGAATAACTTTTTATGGCTATGAAGACCTCAAATGTGACTTCCATCATTTTCCTTAGGTCTTTAGAAAAGTTACAGTACACCTGACATTGCCCAATTCTCCCACTCTATCAATCATACTCTAACGCTCCACGTCCACTCGCGCCCCAGTACCTCCCATCTCGCAAGCGCAAAACACAACCCAGAAAGAAGGAGTATGAAACCGAAGAAGGAGATGAAGAGGGAATGGGCTACTCGAGAGAGTATTATAGACGAGAGGGGAATACTGAGAGAACATCTTTTAAATTGGCATTCAGTTAGTTAGTTCGCTCGTTAATTAGTAAACGAAACGGGGTAAGAAAAAGAGATAATAGGGAAGTTGATAATAAGGGAGAAGATAAAATACATACGCAATCGCAACACCCAGCTGACTGGCACCCCACCAGCGAGCATACACGTGAGAGGGACATAGGGCGGATATGCATAGCGGGGCGCAGCTCATGATGGCGCCGGAACCGAGGCCGGAGAGGGAGGCGTAGAGGTAGAGGAGGATTTTGGGGGTTGAAGGGGAGGTTGGGGTTGAGGAGATGGGAAGAGTAGAGGTGGGGAGGAAAAATATGAAGTTTGAAAGGAGGGATACGGAGACTAGACAGAGGAGGACGATGTTGTAGGGGCCGAGGTGGTCGGAGAGGGGACCGGAGAGGAGACGTCCGAGGATGGATCCGCTGGTTTTGTTGTGTTTTAGTGGGATGGTGGCGGTTGCAGGCTGGGGAAATGAAGAGGGGAGAAAGGAGGTCTGGTAGATTTGGAAGATAACTGGGAAGAGGGAGACTCACGCATTAACAATAGCGACAACATTGAAAGAAACAGAGGTTGAAAAGCCCTGTTTCAATGCATATGTAGGGAGTAACCCCGTGGTGCCCACGAGTACAAACTCGAATACTGGATGGGTTAGTCGTGTTGACATATCTATGTATGTGACTCGTCACAGATCACATAAGGAAGATAGAATAGAGTCAAAAGAAAGTATTAAAGTGATGAATTACTTACGCGAAATGCCAGCCATACACCATAAAAACCTTTTATCACGCAATAAACCCCAATCACCATGGATTTTCTTTTCATGCCAAAATTTCCACCATGAAGCCCCATTTCTCGTGTTAGTAGTCGTCGTACTAACATTGCAGTCTCCATCTCGTTCCCGATGCCCAACCCCTCTTTTCCGCGAACCCCCACGAGGCAAGAAAGCCAAATACCCAACTGCAACTAAAACTCCCACTCCCCCAGCCACAACTCTCATAGCATCCGCCCATTCCAAATTCTCCAGTACCGCTTTCAACACAAAAGTGAAGATAATCCCTCCCGTTGGATTCCCCACTAGCGCAATACCCGTCGCCAATCCTCTATACCCTGTTCCTTCGAAGGTGTTTAGCATCGCATTGGCAACTGTACAGAGAAGTGCCATGCCTAAAGCACTGAGGACTCCATATACGAGCAGGAAATGGAGTAGGGAGGAACAGAAAGATAGGAGGAGTAAAGAGAGGATGTAGATGAGAGAGCCGGGGATTAGAAGGGGAAGTGGACCGTAGGTGTCGTATATGGGACCGAGGGGAAGAAAGAAGAAGCGTGAGGAGAATGTTGAGGGCGGGGATTAAGGAGAGGAAGGGGAGGGGTGTGTCCGGGAGGTTGTGGATAGAGAGGTGAGAAAGGAGAATGCCAGTGCTGTTGTAGAAACCCCATGTTGAGAGGGTTAGGGTGAAAGACGAGACGATTGTTAGGATAAAGTTGGAAGGGAGAGAGGAAGCACTAAGTGAGGATTTTGCCGATGTAGCATTGGTGCCTTCTTCTGGGTCATGTGTTGTTGGTGCAAGAGATTCTCTCGGTGGGATAGACAGATCATCTTCTTCGACTACCTCGACAATCATCGTAAGTGAAGGTTTAAAAGATGTCAACATCGCCATTGCTGTCGGCCCCTCAATTTTAATATCACTTGGTCTTATAGGGCGACATTTTGGTATCCCGGAGACCTTTTAAAGCAATTGCAAAAACAAATAATGAATAAACTTCCATCCGACGGCAACGCTATTCAACCCTCCGTTTGATTTGATCACCAAAATAACTTTCAAGTCTAGCCCACATTATCCAAGTATACAATATTATAACAAGCCGCGACTACTACCATCTCACATCCACAAAATGCAGTACAACACTACATGCATGTAAAATTATGTGCCCTGTCTGCCGCGTCTTTGCTTTTGCATGCAGGAGGGCAAAAGCAATTAAGGAGCAACCCAAAATGGGACAACATATCTGGGGTAAGAATGCTTTACAGCCAGCATGACGTGTGTATGTATGTAAGAAATACACGCCACTCAGACAACTCATACGCTCAGCCTTGCTCTCTGGTATCTATCGCCTACCGAAGACAAGGAAAATATGAAGCAGACGGTCGTTTGCATATATCAATCACATTGTACAGAGCAAAGCCATAAAAAAGGGAATATATCTTGTAGGGATTATTCGGAGACTTTGTATGCACGGGATAGATCGGCTACATTGTGATGGATGATGAGTACGTGCTGCCGAAGGTAGGAGATGTGACTGATTTGGGACTCTGTCATTAATGTACGGCCGAGGTCGAAGCCGCGATTGATGGTTGGATGAAGGCTGTCGGTATATCATGCAATAAATTTTTAGCAAAAACTAATAGCCCATATTTTCAGACCGCCCTTTGCCACTCTCCTTTCTCTTTGGCTGTAGGCAAATGGTACCTAGCTTGATATTAGCCTCTGTGAGGATCCAAATATTTTTCATCAAAATATTGTGAGTGACATTCGCATGAGTTTAATGGAACTCACCTCAATATAAAATACCACCCAACATCCCAACTATGTATGTATCCCCCGAATAAACCAGATTTGTGGGAAACCATCAGATATCACAAATCCTTCAATCGCGGATGAAGTTATCATACTACCTAGACCAGATTTAAGCAATAATGCACCTTAATTCCCATAGGCAAATGCTTGGATTCAGAGCCTTTACATCCACACTTCAAGCTCATCTCTCATCGCCATTCTAGCAAGAATCTTTCCCGTTCCATGGGGGTTCTGGAGCCCAACTCGTATACAGCGGCTATCCATAGTCCCGTCACACATGGAACACCTCCCGCGACTAGGCTAACTGCTTCTCCTTCTCCATGTTTTCGAATTTGAGGCCTGAAGCATGCTTGTCCTAGCACGAATTCGCCATTTTTGATCGCCGGAAAATGATTGATGATGGCCTTTAACACAATCAACTTTTGATCCACTTCCGTTTTACCACGTATTTCTTCCTGTAGTTTGGAGAAACCTTCGAGATTGGGGGTTCAAAAATTGAAACAAAACGTATGGACTTGATGATTTTTTGATGGGCTCACTAGGATACTATGGCTCCTGACACCATATGGGTACGAGGCGGCTTTTAGATGGCCATGGACCAGCTACGATGAGCATGTCAGTTGCGTCGATTTGTCTCATCGCTCCACGTCGGATAAATTTCACAGAACTGATAGCACTGCCTGAAGAATAATTAATCAAATTAGCAGATCCTATGATGATGTTCACACCTTTCGTGCGAGACTTAAAAGATGGCTGGTGAGGTACCCCGGATGAACTTGAGCAGTATTCTCCGGTTTAACAATCTCGGTGGATTCTTTGATGCCCAAACTCACCAATCCAGCTCAATGTTTCAGGAAGACCAATCCCTTTCGACACATGGGTTTTGTTCTGCGAAGTAGACACAGAGAACACAGAGAACACGGCGATAACCCCACAAAACATCCTTCTTATACCTTTGAGCAAGCTCAGTGTCTAGATTGAAATTAAGAGGAGCGAGAAAAGGAGTTACCACCCAAGGAGCTAACAAGCCTGATGACCTTAGAACGTAGTTCAAAATATGATCCTAATTCACGAGGCTTATTCCATTCTCGTACATGTAGTTCAAACTTTGTATCAATGAGCTCCAGCTTCCCCAGCAAGGTCCCGCGATTTAGAATGGTGATGTTGTGAGTTGATGAACCGTACAAAATGTGTTGACTCACCCAGTAGACTATAGAAACACCAATAACACAATCATCCAATCCAAATTAGACAGGGGCTCGAAAGAGAATATTGGGAACTACCTATGACGACAATGCATTTTGTATCTTGTCCAGTGTTGCCCATTTTGATGACTTTATGGAATGGAGAACGACCAAGTTCTCACTGTGGACAGATATTGGAGTATTATGGTAAAGTTTGCTCTGAAAGTCAGAGGTTAATGAAGAGATCGTCTGTAACTTAAGTTCACTCATATATATATACTAATCAGCTTCTGTGAATGACACAGAACGCTTGTAATGGGTATCCTCAGCAAATCGTGTCGTCCAAATCAACAGAACAGATGCTTAAAGCCATTATCTGTTATTTACAGAGGAAGGTATAGTATTTGACCTATGAATCGACAATGAATAGATTTCGCTTCAAAGATCCCATATCTGGCGGATATAAATGATAAGACCTCCTTTCTACGAGTAGTTGGCGGCTGCTTCACGACAGGGAAACTCTCAGGGCGGTGAAATTAGGGGCAGAATTTGTCTAGCGTGACTTTTGCACCCCTTCACACGCAAACAAAAACTTCTCGAGAATTTTAAGATCTGCGTGAAATACTTATTTCAGTTGATGCACAGTTCCACCGCATATTATGTGCACTTCCTTTTTTCTCCCCCATGCATGCTTACCTACTTGCTTTTGTTTGCTCATACTGATAAGTTCGAGATTCAAGCATGATGAGGTACTGCATCTTCCGACGCGCAAAGTGGGAATGCGCAATTGCAGAGCTCTCCAGTGGAGATTTAAAAGAACGTAAAAATACTCACCAATTTCGGAGTTCGAGACTTCGAAAATAAATGCTATAACGTATGATGTCTGTTCTGGAGCTGAGAACGTTATCTGCGAATCCAAAGCGCTTCCGCAGTCTTGTCTTATGGCGGATACTCAAATCGAGAAAGGCATGAGTATCCCGTGTTGTCAGATGAAGCACTTTTATTTAAAAAGGATCAGTATCGAAAATGATAAGGTCTGCGAAAAATGTGATCATTCTTGAGCCCAAGGCCAGGGAATTGAGAAAGCCAACGCCACATTCTTGGTCCTAAGACATACAAATCTTAGGAGGTCCACGGAAATGATAGAAGTTTGACGTGGCTTGAGACCACTTCTCAGCCCTAAGTATTATCTATCATATTCTGTTAAATGTCTTATATGACTTGACTTGGATTAAGTCATTCCTTTTCTTTCGTTTTCAGGTTAAATCACCTGCATTTTCCATCATCCTCGACGCAAATGCTTCTGAATGATTTCTTCATCATTACTTCTCCATTTGTAGTTCAAATTCCTGACAATTTCAATTTCAACTGTCATTCTGAAACTTCCGTCCGCAGACACATCTACTGCATACACAATGGCAATGGGTGGAAGAACTACAAATTGGCAACCTATGACGGAACAGCGGCCATTTGTAATTGCGCAAGACCAACAATTTTACCAACAGCAACAGGAACAGCAACAAGTATCAGGTTATTCTGGTCCTGGTGTTGTTGTCCAAGAGTCAACATGGTCGAATAGCATCTGGGATTGTTTTTCGCCAGGCTCACTTTGTACTTAAGCCCTGATCTTGCACGTATTCTCTCAATAAAACTAACGATATCAACCATTAGGTCTCAAAGCGACTTTCTGCCCATGTTTCGTCTATGGCAAGACTCAACATCGTCTCAGTCGAGATCCTAATCTTACGGGATATGAACGATTCAATACCGACGTATGCCGTTATATGACATCTGGTTACTTCTACACAAGCTGACTTCTTATAGTGTTTCATGTGGGCAGGTGCTCAATGGTGTGGTCTAGGTCTAGTATTTACCTTTCTTCAACGTCGGGAAATTCGGGAAAAATATGCCGTTGGAGGAAGAGATGAAGAGAAGCCTAAGGATTTGGCTTTGAGTTGGTGTTGTCATTGCTGTGCTTTAATGCAACAGGAGAAAGAGGTTGTTATGAGGACTCAGAGTGGTCATAATTTACAACAGGGATATCAGAGATCGGATCCAATGTTATGGGTATAAAATAGTGCACTCGAGGGTGTAGCTTCGAACTTTGAACTGTGGAAGGGGAAGCTTGCTACTATATAATATTTGGGATGGAACATGCGTGATGGAGTATAATGATACGATTTGATTGTGTTTTTCAATGTCTACAGCCTGCTTAATAATTCACAATCATTGGCTGCATGGCATAAGTTATAAAATTTATCTGGTGATATGTGAGAACATGAGATTGATAGCCTTGAAGTTAATAGCACTGCATTCTATCTATTGGTATCAATCCCTTTCCCCAGTAATCTACCCTAAACGCCATACCATGAATTCAGGCCCATACTCTCAAAGAACTCCTCATCACAACATCCCACCACCCCCTCTTCCTCTTCCTCCCAACCTCTCTCTCTCTACCCTCTTCCCTCTCAACTTCCTCCGCACTCCACCCCCAACCTCCCCTCAACCCTCCTACTCAAAATAACATAATCACTCTGCACCACCCTCCTCCCCTTCAACCTCTTCGGTCCCGGACTATACTCATCAACCTCAAACCCAAGTTTCTTATAAAAACCCAACGCCTCTTTATTAGCCACAAAACACGTCAGCATAATTTTTTCAACGCCGGGAATTGCGTGGGATATTCTGGTGAGGAGGGTCATGAGGTGGGTTCCTAGACCTGTGCTGTTGGTGTTTGAGTTAGTTAGTTGGTTGGTGTTTATGTAGGTGTAGGGCTTAGGTGTAGGATTTGAGTAGGTAAATGTATAGATAGAGATGGGGAAATAGGGAGATAGGGAAATAGGGAAATAGGACGGGGTAATAGAGGGGGATATACCCGCGTAATTCTTCGGAGAGATGGATTTCGTAGAGATAGATTACTTTGAATCCATCTTCGAATGTGGGCATGAAACTCATGAATCCTGTTATTTCTCCTTCTTTTCTCCTTTTTCTCCTTTTCTCCCCATGCTCTTGCTCTTGCTCTTGCACAATCATCCCTTTTCCTCTTCCCAGCTTCCCATCATCTCTCTCCCCTTTTCTCCTTTACCCCTTCCCCTACACACATCCCCATCCTCACCCTCATCCCCACCAACATCCTCCCAAACCCCTCACTCCCACCCCTCACTCCCACCCCGCCCCCACCTCTCTAACAACCAAATACCTCAAATCCCACGACCCCATCTCCCTCCTCTTCCTCACCCCATTCCACCCCAATCTACTCCCCCTATAATGCTTCCCGGACGTCCTCTCAATTAAATTCAAACAAGCTGTTAAATCCCGAGTATGGAGCGTATTGGCTTTATATAAATTTATCTTATATGATTTTGTTGGTGCGTCTGGTTTGGGTGGTGGGGCGTAGAGTGCGTAGGATGAGCTATTGGGTGTTAGGTTATGTTATGGGGGGATGGGGAAGGGATGAGGAGGGAGGATTTGTACCGAGGAGGCATGTAATCACGTTCAAAGTCCTCGAGAGATTTGGCGCATGCGGTTGTGATGGGATCTGGATCTAGATCTTGAGTTGACATTTTTGGGTCTTTTTTGATGTTGGAAAATTAAATTTTGAGTACTATTTCCTTGATAGAGAACGGAGCTTCAAATATAAAATAGTATCTAATATCAAAGTAAAAAATTGTTCTTTGCTATCTACTGTACAGATAATAAACGCGTCTAGAGATTCTAGACAAAGTACCCCGCGACGCGAAATTCCGCTCCGCCCCACCATTCATTCATCTTCATCTTCATCTGATTATCATCATCATCATCATCATACATTCAATAAAATCACATCCCCACACCCACCTTCCATTTCACATACCTCACCCTATACTCACTCACTCCAGCATTAATAATTCAAGTAAAATCCAAGCAAAATGCGCATCCCCCCATTACAATCCCGCATCCCCATCCCCATCCATAACCTCACCCATAAGGTTACAACCCGTGAATATTCATCCGGATCCCTCAAACCACGACGACAGAGTAAACTCGGTCCAACCGTATCACTAGATCACGTATGTTCAATTCTCATTCTTATATATATTTATATATATATAGAAATAAAAAATAGATAGTTAATGCAAAAAGTATTAGTTTCTTCAACGATCAAAAGCTCTTTCACTCTATAGACGTATCCTGCGCGATTGTCGACGGATTCCGGATGTGAAATCGAGGGATGAGATGAGGAGGTTTGTGAGGGATGATTTTGAGAGACATAGGAATGTTACGGATTTGGTGGGTTTTGGTTTCTTATTTTTCTTATTTTTTGGGAGATGGGGGAGGGAAAGAGGCCTTTTGTTAAGTTGAGGTTGGATTGAGATGGGTTGAGATGTATGGTTTGATTTAAGGGGCATGAAAAGCTAATCGATGAATTGGGGTGTAGTCGCAAATTAAGTATTTGATTGGGACGGGAAAAACGCAGTGGGAGGGGATGGAGAGGTATATTACTGGGATATGATGTAAAAAGATAAAAGAAGAGAAGGGGAAGAGGTTCCCTAACGGTGTATAGGTTAGAAGAGGAGGATGGTTTGTACATGTATGCATTAGTGTGGAGCGGGTATGGCGTTTGGGGTTTGGGAAAATATGTTATTGTTCGTATATGGAGTGGGTAAAATCCCATATCATGGATGCGCAGGAGCATGTAGGAGTGCAAAAGGCCCTACGTATTTTACTGTCTTGGGGGTTTGTATGTATGTATTTTCTGGCTTGTGTATGTGCAGAGATGATTCTTTACTCTTTAGCATAACTATCTTTCCATCAACGCCATACCCAGTTTCCAGTACGTACCTCCCAACTTTCACATCCACTGGCGTCGAAAGTCTAATATCCTCATAGTCGTGCGCAGTCCGTAATCCGCAATCTCGTAACCTATTCGATCTGAATCCCTCGTTTCCTAACTCTCTAACCTGTTATTTCAAACCCATGTAGGTTCAATGCTCTATTTCCCCTGTCTCTGCTTGTGCTTGGGATTCAATGAGCAAATGATATAAACATGTCCTTTCCCCGTTTTTCCACCCTTTCTTCTAACACTCTGTATTGTTACGGTATTAGCATTCATTCATCCATCCATTCATTTCCCCACAATCGCAAACCAGCAAACCTCCAATCCTTCACCCGAAAATTCCTTAACTCCTTATTCAATCCCACATCTACCACTCTCGCGCAAGCCAAAACCAGAACCCAAAATTTCCCAAAACAAACACAACATACCTTACACCCCTCACACAACTTCTTCACCGAACTCCTAACCTTCATCCCCCTAACCTGTTCCCCCCCCTTCCCACTCAATCCCAAACCCAAACCCTCCTTCGCCCTCTCCATCAAAGCCGCCGTCGTCGGCCTCTTAGCCATGTGCATCGAAGCAAAACATCTCGAACCAATCAAATGCGAATTTTGAACTCGTGCAAAGGGCAGGAAAACCATTCGTGCTGTGCGGAGAAACATTGTTGATGGTATCATTTTATTGGACCTGTCTAGTCTTTGTTTATATTTTAAGGGGTTTCGTTGATTGAATCGCGGTTATTTCAAGGCGGGCGGGTGTTGATATCGCAGTGGATGGAGGGATTGATGATTTTGGAATGGCGCTAGTGATATCAAATGGGTGATGCACGGGCCAAGTACGCTAAAGACAGGACCAATTTCTTGAAAGCTTTTTTTAACGAGAACTCCTCTTCCGTCCACTTTGTCCAAAGTTTCAATATCAGAACTTGTAATCCCGAAACGAGAACGAGCCAAGAGATTTCATCCTTTAATCAAGAGCTTCTATTGAGCCCCCGTCATCTTTAAAACTATAAGTCGACTCTCGGTCCAATGAGGTGTACAAATTAAAAAGCTTATATATCTACACTATAACTTCTCTTCTTTGGTCCTGCCGGGATTCATGAAATTCTATATCACATCTGTAAATACTTTATAATTTATTTTATTAGTAACTCTCTAATGTTAATCTTTTTATATTCTTTTATATATCTCTTTTATTTATAAATATTATATATAATAAAATTATATAATATAAAAGAAGAGAATATTATTAATAATATAATAAAACATTACAAAAATCCCTTTTTTTATTCTTACTCCTCAATCAATTGACTAATCACAAAGTCTTAAATAACATTATAAAGGTATCAATTTTGGTTTCCCCGTTTTCCCCTTCCTCTTCTCTTTTGGCACTCCAAGCACATTCATAGATCATAAAATATATACACAAAAATAAACTCCCCTCATCCAAAAGAACTTACATCACTCCATCACCCCATCCAACACCCCAACACCCAACATCCAACCTCTCAACTAGTATAACAATACTTAGTAAAACAAGCCGTACACTCACTCGGCAACACCTGACCCGTCTTCTCCATAAACGCACAACCCAAGCAAGTAGGCCAATCCTCATCATTACCCTGACTAGCAACCTCCACCCCATTTGCAATAACACCCGCGGTTGTAGATTTGGGATAGATTAATTGAGCAGTGGGGACATTACTTGCGTAGGAGAATTCCGCGTTGGGAAGATAAATAATAGTGATTTTAGTTGCATCACCACAGCCGAAAAATGTAGCTCGCGCGTTGTAACCTTGGGCGATGAAAGTGTCGGAGGGAGGAATGACGGGCATGCGTGTAAGGCCGTGTGCAAGAGCTTGTTGGTATGTGGTATAGATTTCGATTCCACTGGGCCAGTCGGATGAGGTGTCTGCGCTGTTATCATTTACTATGATGGCGGATATGTTGCGAGCAGGTTGGAGGAATGGGAAGATGGGGTTGTTTTGCTTGGCTTCTCCACCGTCGACCAAGCTCAAGTTTTCTTGTGCTGGGATATCATCCACGGAGTTGATCTTGCCGGTGGATGAGGCGTAACCGTAAAATGGGTTCTTATAGGTAGCATAAAGATCTTTAGTGGTCACCTCATGTACCCCGTCAAGGAATGCAGCAATATCTTGTGACGCGTCCGAAGAGCCATTGACGGGTGTTGGAACACTAAGACACACCTCATTGAAAAGGCTGCTTGAGGTTCCTAGAATATAGCCCAGATTATCGTAGTTCTTAGTACATGTTCCGGTTGGCACACCGTTTTCCAAAGTAGTGCCGAGGTATTCAGTTGGTGTGAAAGCAGATACATCGGCATCCCAAGAACCAAACTCATACGGAGAGAACTCATACGTTGTAGCATTGGTTGCGGGTAAACATTGACCGTCAAATGTCCTTACTCCCAAACTGGTGACGATTGGGAATGGGACTGCATGTGCGGCAAAATTGGAAAATGTAGCGACTGAAGAGAAAGTCGTCGACTCGCCATCATTTTCAATCAATTGGTAGGCTAAAAGTCTTCCCCATGGATCAGTTAAAGTGGTATGAAAGCCAGCCTTTTCTTTTTCTTCGAGGTCTCCAACGATTTTGGCGTAAGCTACCACGAATTCTAATCCATCAGGAGCGAAGAGTGAATTTTGGAATGCCGATTCCCAGAGATTATCTCGCAAATACGAGACTGTTGCATAGTTGCTTGCCGCGAGAGATGAAACGAACCATGATCCACCAGAAAGACCAGATTGGTAAGTAATAGCTTGGTAGAGACCACTGGTAGAGACATTACTATCCCGCCCATCAAGACCTTGAACTACACCGGCACTCTATTAAAGTTATTAGTGTTAGACAGGTTGAAAAGGGAGCTATCGAGGATATTTGATTGCTGCACACGAGACACCGCAATTGAAGAGGCTAAGAATTGATAGGAATTACTTACACATAGGAGAGATCGGTAACCTCCACCGCTGTGCGTAAGCGCGATCTGTGTGATATTAGTTATCTGGAGAAATATGATCGAGGTAGTAATCATACCGTTGGCAAATTATCAGTACCAAATCCGGGGTTTGTTTTCTCCAACCACTATAAATCAAATCAGTCAAAGTCCAATGTCCAAGCATAGAGGATGAGATAGTGATCCATTATATCCTGTTGATCAATTATCCGCAGGGAGAACCGGGTAGAAACTCTATTAGATCAAAACGAGAATGAGGCTTCTTACCGCTTTCAAGGATACATCCGCAACAGCTTTCCTCCCTACTCTATAGGATTCCTCATTATCCGAAAGGCCATTTGCAGCCCTCACCAATGCTTGTCCTGAAGGGCACGTCACAGAAGTGGGTGCATAGGAAGCACTGATTACCTCTCCAGCCAAAAGTCCGATTAAAAATGATAATGGCCAAGACATTGTAATTTTGGTATTTCACACCTAGGGAAAGACTTGGATAGATCCTAGGGACGGATATTAAAAGCTAGGAATATATATATGTGTATATTCGAAAAGGAGTAAAGGAGCGAGTGGAGAAAGGGAAAGTCTCCTTGGATCAAGGATGGCAAATGAAGGATGTGAATAACAATCAACAACCAGCTTATTGCATGGAGATTGGAGAATACTCGGAAGGAAGGGTGTTTGTATTTGTACCTGGACGGTCAACATGGCTTTGATGATAGACAAACTATATCTATGATCCATGTTCACCAAAGTTGGGGGTGGTACTGCACAACTGCCGGTACCTCACCTGTTAGTCAGTGGATGTACAGGAATTACACTGCAAATGCTCCAATGAATTGACTTCTCTAGAGCACACGCAGTGACAATTGAGCTATACCGAAAGTCAATTGAGGATTGACCAGGGGCTGTCACGCCTTAATCATGGTATCTACGGTGGGAGCGTTGCCTCTCAGCCAGCACGAACCACACATGGTAGATTGCCATGGTAAAATGGGAAAGCCGGTGACAACTTGTGCACCGGGGACCACACGAGTACGAATCCCATGAACGAGTTAGGAAGCTCGTGATGTTTAGTGATTCTGATTAGGACACATTCGCCAGGACCGATTAGGATACAATCCCGTCTGTTGAAGGAAGGTGATGCGGAGGGAGCACGTCGGTACTGTGCAATAAAAGCACTACCGCGACTAGCTTGCAGCAAAGCCATTTCCGCGAATCAGGTACTTTGAGTCGCGCGCGTACAGCACAGCCTCTTTCCTAATTCTCTTCCTTCTGTTATTCAAATCATACATGCTAGGTAGGGAGGTAGCAACTAGGGACATAGTAATCATTTTACAGTACACTGAGTACAGTAGTTGTATTTTTCCCCATCCACTTGTGAATACTACCTTCTGAAAGGGAAATAAATAAATAATTTCCGAGTTGCCACTTTAAATGATTCTCAATCTTCAATGATCAGCCTTTCATTCCTGAGGCCATTAGAATCGATGATTTGAATACTAAAGTCTTCTAGAGCTTCGTAATGATTCTTTGAATAAAGAATTATTTTTGTTATGAATCTTTGAGATTTCGTATTTCCATCTGTTGATTCGAGACAATTCAGCAGAGAAATATCATAAGAATCTGATTTTCTACAAAAGATTGAAGGGGCCAATTGCAGGTATCTAGATAATTTTCAACAATCTGTGCACTTCCTACGGATGAACACATTTGGTTCATAATCTCTCGTCTAACACCAATCAACGAAGCTCATCAAAATATATAATTAGATGAATCAAACAAACCGAGTAATTTTCTCCCCTCAATTTCTTTAGGTCCCGGTATTTCCGGGGTATTTGCGTTATGACAACAGATGCTAATCCCAAAGCAGTAAATGCTTATCATCAATTTGTCGAGTTTTATACAATCCTCATCTACCTTCTTAATACATTGCTTTTCTTTTATATTTTAATATTAGTAACACTATCCAATAGATAATAGATAGTACAAACAATACAATCCTCCTTCAGAGAAATCCGAAAATGACCCCTCGAATACAAGACATTATTTTCCCAAACAAGACAAATCTCGATATCAAACAATCAAGTCAGACAATTACGTAGCAGGTACAACAAGAGGCACGTACGTAAGTTGCAACCAAAAAAAGTGAAGCCGGGGAAGCCGGTCAATTAATTAATCAATAAGCTGCATCATCCGTCTGTATTCCCCGAGGTAACAAGATCGACATACGTAGATATGGAGAATGTCAGACAATGTCAGGTATACAGGTAGCATTCGTATGACCATACCCTATAAACTTATAAACTATAAAGTATAAACTCACCAGATCTAATAAACCCTAAACTCTTTTATCTCTATTATATATTAAATTTACTATTCCCTATTTCCTTCCGACTGGAAGACTCGGCACAATGTCCACTTACTTTTAATAATCCCATCAGTCAATCATACGAGCACATACGCCCACGACGTTATTTTATTCCCTTGTCGGCTTTATTGTATAGTGTGTTTATTGTATAGTCTATAATATATATTGAATCTGGTGACTTTAGCCTTCCTTACTAAAAACATACGAAACCACCTATCGAAAGACATATTAAAAATCACACATGGGTACTTTCTTTTCCCCGCCTCCGCCCGCCTGTGCTATCATCGCTATCAACCCATCGCCTTCTACATTTGGCTTGATAACTGGCGGAAGGGGTTTATAAACCCAGGCCTTGTTCCTGAAAGTGGGATTGACCCCTGAGGCAATGTAGCATTTCTTTCTTTTGGGTTCATGTTGCAGAATCCGGCGGTGCATCATGCATGGAATGTGTGCCTGATTTTGGGTCCTGCAGAATTGGGCATGATATACCAAGGTCTAATAGATGGTTCTATACTAGTAGCATATCGAGATCAAGAAGAGCCTGGTCTATATTATGAAGATATTGCACAAATTTTCCATTTTGAATTAATAGAGTCACTGTCACATGTGTTTATGTTACAAGGGTCTTACGGCCAAATATTCTCCGCGCTTCCTTCTGGATTCCAGACATGACAAAAGAAAAAGAAAATCCTAAACTGCTGTCGCCTCGTTTCCTTCACTGGCTGGCTTAGCAGCACCGCCGTCGGACTTCTCAATGCTTTGCTCCTTGCTCTCATCAGCCTGCACTTCAGCTTGTGCTGCTGGCTCCTCCTGAACATCAGGCTCTGCCTTGCCGACTGTTTGAGGATCAGAACCCTCGACATCAGGATGTGGTGGTGCAACTCCAGCTGCTGCTTCCTCTGGCGGGTTGATCTCATTGCCTTGAGCATCCACCATGCGAGTTCTGGTTTCATACCTGGTCTTAAAGCTGACCTTCCCTTCGAGAGATTTTACCGCCTCAGGGTCAAGAATATTGCCGTCTTGATCCCTGTATTCAACCTTCTCCTCTCGAGAAACAATGCTATGGCTAGCGACAGGTGCAGCTGGTGGTGGAGACACCAAACCTTCTGGTTTTCCTTCTGGTGCCCCTGATATATTCTCTTGGTTCAAAAGAGGTTTCTGCTCACCAGCCGCAGCCTGTGCTGGGACGTCAGCAGCATTAGTTGGAATCAATGGTGAATCAGTTTTGTGAACATCAGCATTTGCATTGATAGACTGAGTCGCATAATCAGAGTACTATGAAGATTAGCATATATTCTCATTTTAATAAAAAAGGAGTTGTGATGACAGAATAAACACCTAACTTACATCGTTCAAAAAGGTATTGCAGTCCCAGTCCCATTTCTCAAAAAGTTTGACCTTTTTGCAGGCTGATTGTGTCCATGGGTTACCATATGCCAACGGAGAGTAGAGAGCGAAAACAACAATGCTTAGTGCTAGGAAGATAATTGCGCCAAGTTTTCCAATGAAGGGACGTTCGCGTAAGCCAATACCAGGGACACGGCCAGTGATGAAATCGAAAGTCTGGCACAACGCAATGATGGCGAAGTAAAGTGCGGGAAAGTAGTGATGGAGGAAAAGCTGACGTTGCATCAGGTAGAACGGGAAATAGTGGAAGGCCCATCCAAGAACAATGGTTCCAATTTCGTAATCAAATCGCTTGAAAACCGGGTTGTCGTAGTCTCTAAAGCCTCTTTGCCAACGAAGAACAGCAAGACCTTTGAAGGCGATGAAGATAGCAACTGCCAGTGTCGAGCTCCACCAAATTACCGGGTTACCGATAAGGTAAATTTGGCGATTGTCCTTGCCCCAGAAATTAATACCTCGTCTGAGAATAGGCCAAGAATCAGGACGTGAGTCCCAAGCATGGGATTCAACTAAACCAGCATTCGTGTGCCACATGACCTTGTTGAGCTCCCAGAACTTGCCAAAGAAACCTGGATTTCTGTAGTTAACTTTTTCTGCCTCGGCTCCAAGTTGAGGATGCTCATTTTGCTCAATATACCAAACACTGTTAGGAAGAGTTCCTCCCTTAGCACATGTGACCTCCTGCTGCTCCGAAGCCCATTCAGGAAGCTTGACTTTATGAGAGAACAAGACACATCCAGTCATAATGTGGACGAGTTTGAACTTGGTTTGAATTGTTCGTACGCGAGTCTTGGCTATTTCTCCGTCAGACATCTTTTTAATGATCTCGACACGGAAAAAATCGTTAGCATCGCCTTCGAATCCTTCGTAGCCGTAGGCAGAAACCTCATTCTGCCAGTCAGCCTCGGTGACTGGTGGTCGAACGTCGTGAGAATGAAGTCGGCGACTTGTAGATTGATGGTACAACTTGATGATATCACCGTCTTTAATGTAATTTGGCTCTGATAAAGCATCCCAAGCTAGTGAACCATTGATCGGCTGACCATTGATATCAAGTGGCTGTGTTTGGTTCTCCAAGAGCCAAACGTTGTTCTCGTCTTTGTGGGGGTACAAGGTGATTTGCTGTTGCTTGCTACCGGTAGGATACATGAGGTTGTGAGAGTGTAAATATCCACCCTGAGTGTTGTGATGTCTAATGCTAACTCGACTTCCGAAAGCGACGTCGACGGGAACATCTTGCATGGACTTGGAGTTGAGAGTTGCTTGGAATTCAGAGCTCATGAATCCATCGCCATCTCCTGGGTTGACGAGACATAGGAAATGAATACCAAACATAGCCATATAGAATGTTAGGGGGATGATAATAAGACAAAAGATTCGTGCCACAAGGTGCTTGGCGAAAATTCGCTGTCATCATCAGTATATGATAATTTCATAAGATTTCATGATACTTACTGGTGTGACCGTTCTTGCGTCTCCGAGCAACACCCACAGTTGCAATACAGTAAGACTACCGACCCAAGCAATTGTGAAAAGGCCAACCCATTTGACACTGGCGGTCGCACCCAAACCAAGACCTGTCATAATCAACCAAAACCACCAGCTCAATTGAAAGGCTTTCGTAGGTCCTTGTTCATGTTGATTCGTAAATGACGTGAACGCAAGCGCAGTAAAAGCGGTCATAATCATAAGAGGAGAGTCGAGAAGAATTAACCGTGCCTGGGTAAGTAATCCGTTTTCTGTAAAAAAAAAAGTTAGGCTGAATGTCCGGATGGTAATGCTCGAGAGATCAACACACCAAATACAATCAATCCAGCTCCCATGGCAGCTGTCATGGTTCTGCAACCTGCGGCCTTGAGAGTTAAGAACATTGTAGGAACCAAAAGTATGCCGCAAATAGCTGGCAATAATCTCATAGCGACATATGGTACACCTGGTTCTACATAATCTTTTCCGATATCTTTAAAGTCAAATTCTCCATCAAATCCAGCCAAGAATCCCGCAAGTGTTATCAATAGTTTTGCCAAAGGAGGATGTACGTCCATAAAGAATTTACCCTTTATGTATTTCGAGGCAAAACCGCCAAAGCTAAGATAACAAATGTGAGCGTTTATTCTAGTGATAGAAGCCAATTACACCACAAAAACTTACTGGACTTCATCAAATACCACGCTGCTAGGTTGATAAATCCTGAAGAGTCTGACAACAGCTCCCAAGAGTGTCAGGAGTATCATAACCTGATAATCGGAGCCAGGTAGGAGGAAGACATCTCGATCCTCAACACCTTCAGAGGTATAGTCCGTTGGCTTTTTAGCAATAGGTTGCCTTGAAGGGCTCTTTGAGCCTCTTGCGAGATCCGCGTGCACGGATTTTCCACTACGTGCCATTGTGTACTTCAGATAAAAATCAAGAAGCTCTGTGAATTGAAAGAGCTTCTAAAAGCCCAGTTTCCCTAAGAATGAACCAGTAAGCTCGAATTAATCGTATGACCGGAAAGAATGTAAAGAAAAGAAATGATGAAGGTTCAAAGGTACGACATTGAGGTTTGGAGGACAAGTCGCCTGTTGGTTATTATTGAGAAGGGTGTCGTAAGGGGGAACTTTTTGGAAGGGGCCAGGTATGGTTTAGAGTGACGCGAGTAGTAGCCTCTTCTATAAATAACATTACCAAATCTATTAATTGTTCAGCCTCAGCCTTTTAACATACAAGTAAGGCTAGACTTAAATATATAAGTACTACAAGCTACATGGGACGTATTTAAATTCTTATGATTATTAAATAGCTAAAGCTACATGTATATCTATCAAGAAATTTTTGGAAAAGCTTCACATGTTAAAGTTAAATGTGCTATGCATCCTAAAACATCAGGTGGAACTCACCATAAGGCTGAACATGAACTTTACCTAGGTGTAGCTCTAGTGATATAGATGCTCCATGTAACGATCTCCAACTTTCTTACGAATTTCAACCGTGGATTTCATTAATTAACAAGATACCAGTATGAACCTGAAGTACATGTTACATGATACTGTGTTAGTTCTCTACGGACAACTTGTATTGGAGGATTATCAATTTTCACCAGGTCTCCCATTACACAACAAACAATTTCGCAATTCATATCGAAACCAAAAAGTTGTCTTTAGGGATAATATAAGAGCCCATTGCACCAGATAACCCCTTCCACTTATGTACAGCTCTGTCAGGTCTTGCAACCATCCCGCCCCAATCTGTATTCTGTTCCTTTGATCTAATATCCATCCTTACCCCACTTGTTGTATTTCTCGTGTAATTCCTGGAGGCAACATTAGCATGGAGAATACAATAACCCAGTAAACTCCGGTGACGTCACATTGTATGAGCAGGGAGGATGCGGTTTTTGGTGATCGTGAAAGAAAAGCCATGAAAAGAGAATCCTACCTTTGGCAAGTTAACATTGGGAACAATGACGCTGTGCAATGCGCTAGGTGCCTCCTTTGGTGGATTTCTTGGGTCACCAGCTGGATGATATTTGTATTTGAAGTCCTGTCTAGCGGCATCGCCTTTGGTGCCATCTGCCTGCCATGGCATGGTGCCAGGAGCGATGCTCACTTTTTCTTCTGACGTGGCTGAAGTGGGTTTACTACCTAATAGTAAAGTCAATTCTTATCCTCAATGCTGGTTGAAGTAAATGATCTCACCGAAGTAGTAACCCGCCAAACCGAAAGCACCGGCCATGACACCGAAAAGAACCTGTGGAAATCGTCCATTAGCAAACCTTTCAGGATGCATTTATTGCAGAAACCACATAGCGGTATATTAGAAGTAGCTGCAGTCTGCGCTTCACTCACGTAAAGTTCAGGATCTCTTTTTGCGCCCTTGTTAAGGACGTGGCCATCAGCAGATTTTGCTGCCGACTTGCCCACTTGCGCGGCCGCTCTTACTGCTGCTTGTGCTGACATTGTGGAATAGTAGGTTTGACGGTGTATCGCGGGTGAGCAATTATCCTTTCAAAGTGGAACGATGTGATTTCAAGGTGTTTGGCGGGAAGATGGATGTTCACAACCGATTATGTCATCAACATCACGTGCAATATTCTAAAAATTTCTAAATCTTTGATTGAAGGATCTCCCAAACCAAATATCCTCACTACGAGCGAGGTACGTGGGTAGGCATACTTTACTTTATGTGAAGGAAGTTGATGTTTGATGAGGGTGAATTATTTCCTTTTTATTTCCTTTTTATTTCTCTGCAAACAAAAGGGTATTTGATTACCTTGTAAGTCAAATTGGGAATATCAATAACTAGGTAGGTAGGTACGAGTAAGTACTTACTAGACATTTGCCATTCAAATCACCTTCCTGTCCTATCCATAAATCTTCATTTCCCATTTTCTCATTCGGTCTAGCTGTGGTTGGACTTCTGCGACATAATATCACGGGCCGTCAGCACAACACCAACCCAAGAACTCATGTGGTAAATTGACTTACCTAGTATTTTCTTCTTCACACGCCCTCACTTTATTTACAATACAATATGTATGTAATGCTTGAACCCTACTATTAGATCTAAACTCAAGATCCAATTCTCACTCTCCTTAAATAACCTTTATACTTTTTTATTCAATAATTACAAATTACAATCACAAAATTACCTTCTATATTCCTCATCTCATTCATCACTCACCTCCAGATACTCAATAAACAATTCTCGAGGCGCCCGTTCACCAACTTCTTCAAATTGTACGACCTTCACTTGTCTTGTGTTATTGTGCGACCAACGACCGTGGCTGGTGATGCGAGAAAGCAGATAAATTATTTTGAAGGTCGATCTAATATAACGAAATGACTTCCAGGGACAATTCTCCGTCCAAATTCCTTCATTCCACAGATAACGAAAATCATACATTTCCCAATCCGCACCTTGCGCCTTCAGAATTAGGAGATGGAGTTAGCGTTTTATCGTCGCGAATGACCGACATAGCTTCAGAAGAAGGAGACAATACAGATACCTTTTCCGATCCAGTTTCACACGGTCGCCGATTAAGCCAACGTCATAGCATACAGACTGGAGATGGAACCTCAAGGCCAGGTACAGGAGTCACGGCTGTTTCTTCTAGGGGAACTTTTGGTCAAGCTGCCTCGTCTCGAAGAGCTTATCCCCCAGGAATGATTGCTCAACGGGGTTCCACCGCAGGACGACCCGTAAGCTCTATCACCAAAACTCACGTACCATCTTTAAGTTCCCATGCCTTCTTTCGCCCGATGAGCTCTCAGAGGCTTCAAGCGCAACGTGCAGGATCTCGGCCAGTAACGTTAATACAACAAGGATTTGGTGAGGATGGGTCTTTGGATGGTGGAAGTGTAAGGCAGAGCTTGAATTCAAATATTACTATACCACATCAAATCATCACTGAAGATGCAGATCTACCACCGCCGCCATCTCGAGGGACCGAAGTGACAGAGCCTGGGACAGTAGACATAGGTACTACAAACACAAGTCCTATACATGACCATGCGGCTGAAAGCTTCACAGAGAGTGTCCGGCCCCTTCAAAAAGGTCTAGCAAACACAAAAGGGCTGAGTGTAAATATCGATAAGGGTTACAAGAACGGCAGCTCGACTCCAAAATCTCCGCGATCTTTCCATTCAAATTTCCTGATGCCGGCGAGGAACGACGGGCCTGCCGGAAGCGTTAGTCCTAGCCGCAGCAATCAAGGCCGCGAAAAGCTCTCGTCTGTCGCCTCTTCACCAGGCTTCAACCCCGCGGATGCGCAACAAAGGAATAAGCAGACTCCAGACCTTGGTAAAAACCATCAATATTTTACTGGTAACACAGTATTTTTCTGGGGAGGTCGACTACAGAATACTCGATATAGACCCATCAACATTGCCACTGGATTGTTCGTTCTTGTTCCATCAATCCTTTTTTATGTCTTCTCGGCCCCATTCCTATGGCATCATGTTTCGCCCGCGGTACCCATTTTGTACGCCTACGTTTTTTACATTTGCATGTCCTCTTTTATACATGCATCAGTGTCTGATCCCGGAGTATGTATCAGTCTCAACTTCTGCAAAGTCATTTGATCAAAGCTAACATTTCCTAGATCCTACCAAGAAATATACACCCAATGCCACCAGCAGATGAGAATGAAGATCCGCTCCGACTAGCTCCACCCCAAAATGATTGGACTATGATCAAATCGGCTAAATCTAGTACGGCTGCAATGGAAGTACCTACGAAATACTGTAAGACTTGCAACATCTGGCGACCACCCAGGGGACATCATTGTCGCGTTTGTGACAATTGTATTGAGACCCAGGATCACCATTGCGTTTGGCTAAATAATTGTGTTGGGCGTCGAAACTACCGATACTTTTTCACATTTGTAACTTCGGGTACAATTCTTGGAACATTCCTCCTCGCTGCAAGTATAGCACAAATTATTGTTTACGGACATCAACAGGGCATTTCATTCGGTGCTTCGATAAATCATTGGAGAGTTCCCTTCGCAATGTTTATTTATGGTCTCCTCGCTACTCCGTATCCATTCGCATTGATGATGTATCACTTCTTTCTCATGGGCCGAGGCGAGACAACACGTGAATATCTCAATTCACATAAATTCATCAAGAAAGATCGCCATCGTCCTTTCACTCAGGGAAGTGTTGTTAGCAATTGGATTGCTGTACTTTGTCGCCCACGACCTCCAACGTATCTAAGTTTCAAACAAAAATACGAGGAAGGCGATCAACGATTTGGCGAGCGAAGGGGAAAGCGGACTCCTCCTCTTACAAAGAAATTTCAGGGGGGGGGAAACAATATGGAAATGGAAAATGTTCATATCCCGGAAGGAGAAGGTTTTCAAGGCCCTACAGCTTTGAGACCGACGACTTAAGGGGTTGATGTATATTTGGCTGGGTGTTTGGGAGGGGAATTCTTTTTTGCTTTTTAAGTGTTCCACTGACGTTAGATACCTTTTTCTTTGCATATTTATATTACCATGGTGAGATCATACGTGTATCTAATATTGTATTATTTTTGGAGGAAAATATATAGGAGAGGAAGATAAGAGGAGATGATAATTTACAGAAATCATCAAATCGTAGCCACTGCAGGCGGTGTTGACGATAGATGAGAGAAGAGGAGAGAAGCCCGAGAAGATGTAGTAATTGTTACCTACTTCCCTATAAGGAGAAGGAGAATGGGCAGTGGAAAGAGATGAAAAGGAGGGAAGAAAGATTGAAAATAGGCGAGGATTTTGAGATGGCTGTTTTTTGTAAGACTAAATTAGATTACTTAAATGGCTCTTTGTTTATCTACTCGAGTAATGATTCAAAGTTGTACTTTTAGTATTTATTAACTGTTTGAATTGAATGTGATGTGATATAAGATAAAATAAGATGAGATAATTGTCGGCTTGCCGACACTGTAACCTTGCTGTACGCGAGGTTTATCCGGTGTAGATCGTAGAAAATGAGGTTCGTTTAAGGTTGCGATATGATTGGTCGAGAAGTGAGTCGCGATCCTGACAATCTTATTGGTCTAAAATACCCTGGTAAATAAATCTAACAAAAAGCTTGGCATAAGCAAACCTTACAACCTCAGGCAAATCTGACTTACCTTTTTTCAACTCTATTGAAATCATTCAACTCATTCAATTTAACTCTATTCATTCAATTCATCTTATTCAATTCAAAATAATAATAATAATAATAATAATAATTATCATTATTTTTAAATAAAAAAATTTAATTTTCAATTATCAAAAACAAGCCGATATTTTATCTGCACCCTGATATATATTTAATATTTAAATTTATTATAAATTTTTTAAAACCTAAATTTTCATTAGACTTTCTCAAAAAGATCGCAACCCTCGTAACAATATAATATATTAATTGAATTCTATTTTTATCGAAAGCGAATTTTTATATTATACAAATTATTTTATAATAAAAAAAACAAAACCTATTTAATAATATCTTCAAAAAGATAAAGTATCAATATTTTGAAAAATATTGAGGTTATTATATTTTAAATCTTTATAAGAACTCTTTGAAATATATTTAAAGAATTAAAATATTATATTAAAATACTTTATTTATGAAAGGTAATAAATTGTAGATTATAATAAAATAAACAAATATAATTTTTAAGGATAATAATAATAATTGTAAAGTTATAAAATATATTTAATATATAATATATAAAGTTTTAATTGATGTTTTTATTTTACAAAATCATAATCTTCAATTTAAAAGTTATAATCTTTTTGTAAATTTATTCAAATTCTTTAAAATTTTTAATAAATTCTTCTTTTTCGTCGATTTAAATGAAAGTTTATTATTTTTATTACTTTGATTAGAATAAAAATAATTAAAGTTTGATTAATTATGACTTTTTATTTAATTACTTTTATAGTAATTTTATTTATATTTTATATAATTGAAATACAAATACAAATATAATAATTGAAGATTTATATAATATATTCAATATATTATAAGATATAATATTAAATATATATAAAAGAGTTATAAAAGATAATACTTTTGATAATAATTTTGAAAAATAAAATATTTAAATGTTTAAATTATAAATTTATATAAAATTAAAAAAAATTGAAGTCTATATAAAATATTTACGATGTAATTTTAAAGAATTAAAATATCAAATCTTTTTAATTAAATTTGTTAAATTTATGAAGTTTATTTGTTAAAATTGTTTTATCAAATCTATTAAATTTATTAGATCTATAAAATAAATTTGTTAAATTTGTTAAGTTTATTAATTAAATTTATTAAATCTATTAATTAAATTCTTTAAATATATTGATTAAATTTATGCAATCTATTAAACAATTTTATTAAATCTATTAAATAAATTTATTAAATCTACTAATCAAATTTGTTAAATTTATTATTATTATGATTATTATTAATATAATTTTTTTACTTATTTATACATACTTTAATATCTATTTAAAAATAATATTTTAAAAAATTAAATTCCAAAAATCTTCTTTAAATATTTTTAGAATTGAATATTAAAATATATTAAAACAAAACTAAAAATATATTAATTTTTATTTCTAAATATTAAAATCATTTCAATAATAATAAATTTAATTAAAATTTAATATTATATATAAATTATACAAGAAAAGAATTAAAATATTTTTATATATTTATTATCTCAATTTATAATAATCAATTTTAAATTTTAAATTTTCATTAGATTTTTTAAAAATATTATTTTAATATAATTTTATTAAGATAAATAAATGAAATAATATAAATAAAATCTAATAGAATATAATAGTAATAATTAAAAATAATTAAAAATAATTAAAAAGATTTTTGTATATATTAAAAATAATTTGATTTCATATTATAATAATCTGAAAATTTTAAATAAATTATTTGATAAAATTTATATTGAATTCTTAATTTTATATTTCAAATAAAAAATTTTTTTTTTTAAGAAAAATATATGTATTTTTTTGGGTTGAAAAAAAATATTAAAAAGAAATAAAATATAAAGTATACAATATATTATTCTTGAAAATTTTTGAAATAGAAATAAAAAATAAATTATCTATAAAAAGTATATTGAATTTGAGAATAACTTTTTATCTTATAAATAATTTAAAAATAATTTTTATGATATTTATATTTTTATTTGTTTTAATATACTTGAATTTGAAAGATAAATAAAAAGTTGTTTTAATGTTAAAAAAAAAATTTATCTTTATGATAAAATAAAAACTAAAATCTTTTTTTTATTATAATTCTTAATTGAATTTAATTCTTTTATTTTTAAAATCTAAAATTATTAAAGAATTCGTAATATAAAAATCTATAAATAATAATAAAAGCTAATAAAAATATAACAAAATTTAATAATTTCATTTTCATATTATTAATATTCGAAATTTATTTAAAAAAAATCTAAATAATCAAAAAAAATAATGAATAAAATTCATAAATAAATAGAATATATATTTAATATATACAATAATCTTTCAATAATAATAATTTATTATTTATTATTCAATTCTAAAGTTTTCATATTATATAATAATAAAAATCTATCATTCAAAGAATGAAAGAATTTTATAAAATAATTATATTTAATAAAGAAAAAGATTCGTAAAATCGAATTCAAAAAAAAAAACACATTGTATTAAAATTCGATTTTTTTTATTGAAGAAATTGAAAACGAAAATAAAATCGATTATATTGATCAAATCAATCAAATCATATTTCAAACCATTATATTATAATCTATAATATCATTATTAGATATCGAATCTTATAAATATTTATAATATTATCAAAAAACCAAAAAATAAAAATAATCTTCATTTATATTTTATTTGTAAACTATAATAGTAAAAGTCCAATATAAAAAGAATAAATCGAAATAAATCGAAACTAATAATTCATTTAAAAATAAATTTTCAAATTAGTATATCTAAATAAGATTTTACAAAAATTTAAAATATTTAGTTTTAAATTTAAATTCGTAAATAAAATAAGGAATAAAGAAATAAATAAAAGATATTTTTAATCACAATTTATAATTTAAATATTTCAAAATCAAAAAAAGATTATTATTTTGATTTAATTATCTATTATTTAATATATTGGTTATATAATCTTTTTGTTATCATTCAAATAATCAACTCTATTAAAGATATTAGAACATTTATTAAATGAATTAAATAATAAATAGACAATTTTCAAAAATGATTCAAATTTAATTTTTTGATATATATTTGTTAAAAATTATTGTATCTAATAATATATTATTTATTAATAATAAAGATAATTTATTATAAACTGAATTCCTTAATAGCTCAAATAAACAAGATTAATGGTATTTATATTATTAACGTATTATTTATTACCAGGGGCCTAGCTTTTTGAGAAAGTGTAATAAAATTTAAATTTAAACTTTTTTTATATTTAAATTTAAATATATATTAGAGTGCAGGCAGAAGAAGGTTTACTTTTTAGAAAGATATTTTAAATCTTTTAATAAATACTTTATATATAGTTTATTAAATTATTATTAAAGAACCCTTTTTGTTTTTGAATAAAAATCAACAAATTTATTTTTTATTTATATTATTTTAATATTTAGCTGAAAGAGTTTTGTTAATAATAATAACAATGATCATTTAATAGATTTAATAGGTCGAAAAAAGCTTAGTCAAATATGCCTAAGGTATTGGTTGATCAATAATTATCATCGATAGTACCCCACATTCCGACCACCCCCTCATTCCGATCACTCTTTTACATCAAAAACTATGATTTTTATTTATTAATAATTTTACAACAAATAGATATACTTGAATGAAATTTGAATTATAGATTTATTATATAATTATTAATTGATTTTGAGATTTTTAGAATTTTCACAATTTTATTGATTGATATATGAATCATTGATTTATGAATTTCAATTTATATATTAATCATATAGAAATTTAAAATCATAAAATATATAAATAATTTTTAAACAAAAATAATGAAAAATGAATTATAAAACTTTCTAAAATATTTGAATATATTCGATCATTTATTCTTTGATTATTTTAAATCCTTATTTATTATCATTTTATATTTATATTCTTTTTTTTTTCTTTATTCAATTTTCTTTTCTTTGTTTCTAAACTCAATCCTCAATTTCTTTTCTATTCTTTTCATTTTAATATTTTTATATTATTTTATAAAATTTTATTCATTTTTACAGTACTAAAGCACATATAATTAATCGAGAGCTCTTTTATATCAAAATTGAATTATTTTATTTATATATTTTAATTATAAATAAATTTATATTATTGAATTTGTATTATTTTTATAATAGAATTTCAATAAAATAATCTAAAAATAAGAATTTCAAATTCTTGAAAAATTCAAACAAAGAATAATGTAATTTTTAAAATAATATTTTCAATTCTTATTGATTTTATTACAAAAATAATAGAAAGTTTAATTTGATATCTGAATATACCAGGGGCCTGCGCCCCCCGGACCCCAGGCTTTTCTATAAGGTTTAAAAAGTTTATAATAAATTAAATATTAAATATATATTGTGAGAAAGTTGGAATTATAGGCCAAATACATAAAGGTTTTAACTAGTCAATCATATGACCTTTTGTAGTTAGATATAAAAGAAGAGCTTTTTGTTTCTTCTTTTCACAATAATCAACTTTCTACATATATATATTTGAACCTATATAGTATCAACCCCAAAACCATTGTGAACCCTGTTTTACCCATAAGTGACGTATTACAATGTAATCTAATTCAGCTTTCTCT